GCTTCTTCTTTTTACCCAACCTCTTTTGTGTAATTGTGATTTTCCAAGCTACTTTTTCAATTAAGGTGAGAGTTTGCCTTCTGCCTTAGTATTAATAATAAAGCTGTAATTAATAAAGCTAATAATGAGAACATCATTCTACTCAATGAAGAAGAATTTGCAGGTAATGGAATCAATGTTACTCAAGCAACGCATGGACTTTTAGACAACAAAATCAGTGTGCATTTGGGTGTAATTTGGTGATCCTGAAATGAGCTAAGGTTTTGGTCATTAGACAGAGCACCACTGCGGACTAACTAAGTTTTAATGCTATTCAACAATAACAAAAAGAAAAAATAAATGGATCTAAAAAAAACACATGACTGTGTATCGTATCAAAAAATTCCTGAGCATTAAAATATTTCTAATTTCCAGTATATAAATGTATAGATGATTACTACATAATACAATAATTACTACACATGAAATTACTTTCAGGAACTGCAGGGTTAACCTCAGTTCATCTGGCAAAAAAGATCAAGCAGTTTTTGTTGAGAGGATCGTTCAGAGTAACAGCTTTGGACTCTCCTCACAAAGAACTCAGAAATACGGCTCTGACCTTTTTTGCTCTGGCCACCACTAATATGCACCTATATGACAGTATTGATTTTCCCTTCCAAAGGCTGAAGATAGAATTTTCCTTGGCAATAATTCCTCAGTGTGGCATCTTTCAATTACATCTTTCACTTGACACTACGGTTCACACTGCTAGTTATATTTTCCTCAGCACCTTGCTCCTGACATTGATGAATCTTAAATCATTACCCACAAGGAGATAGACTAGGTTATTGTGTCATCTCAGTGGTGCTCCTGTTTTGTGAGTGCTGGCGTGGGAGCTTAAAAAGATATGAATAGAAAATAGGTGCCAACTGTGTGCCCCCTGTCCTCTCTGTAGAGATGAGAACCACTTGCATAAACCTGTCTTCTTTATCCTGTTTGTAAGGGTGTTGAATATAACACTAATTCATAATGAGTAACAAGTAAAAGCGATGTACCATTGCAATAAAACTACTTATTATAATCGCATGCCATTGTGTGGCAGCTTATTGACATTGGAAGTAGAATTTCCAATGTCAATAACCTTATCTCATACAGAGAAAATACCAGCAGTCTAATTTCCGAGATGTACTCCAAAATACGCACTTATACTGTCATACAAAATAAATCATTCTTTATTTTTCTTAACATACAATAATTTGGATTACAACAAAAAAAGACAATCTTTTCTTTTTCTGCACTACACAGAGTTTACCGTGTTAATGATCACATAACCTGCGCCATAGACTTGATTTATGAAGGTCGGGGAATTCCATATTGTCCACATTGTATCTTGTTCAAATAAACAAAGTTAAATTATGTTTAAAGGCCTGGGTGGCATTTTGGTAACTTGGCCATTCTAACTGAAATCCCACTGCTGCTTCTTAAAATGCATGGTTATTGGTGTTAAATTGCATGCTATTTCTCAGTTTTTAAATCATCCAATTACGGGTGTTTTTATATTGACAGAAGATAAGCAAAGAATGTGTTGTAAGTCAATAACATGGGGGTTATAATTGCAGCCTTGGGACCCTGGGTTCAGTAATGGATCTGGGGGTGCTGTCTGTGTGGAGTTTGTATGGGTTTCCTCTAGGTGCTCCATATTGGTAGGTTAATGAGTTTCCAGGACAACTGGCCCTGGTGTGTGCATGTCTGTGTCTTTGTGTGCCTTTTGAAGGACTGGTGTCCTGTCCAGGGTGTACCCTGCCTTCTTCCCATTGCTTGCTGGGATAGGCTCCAGCACCTAGCTGAGACTGGCACTATATCCTATATTACTTAAGAACGTTTTCAATGAATCAACTAAAATGTAATCATACCCAACCTGCCCAATTTGATTAGTCAGTGTATCCCAAATTAATATGGTCCTGCCTTAAACTATTATTTTCTCTGTAATAGTTCTTGGGTAACTTGATCCCTGTTTTAAAATTGCTTCCTGCACACAACTTCCAATACAGCTTTTAGAAGTAGATGAAATCTAAAACCGTATTCCAGGTGAAAGAAGAGGGCTCTGTTCAGCTGTTACTCATAGGTAAACACAGTGTCACAGTGTCCCATCATAGTTGACCCATGTGGCCAATATGCCTGTTTTAAAGAAGCCAATAAAATTGGCGCCGCATTATAAACCTGTTTTAGCGTGTGTGATCAGTCTTTTTTCAGCTTTAAAGTATTTGGAATTATTCCCAAAGGAATAGAGAACAAATACGCAGCTATCCCGTGTAGCAAAGAACTACTTCCATGGCTTCAGACATCAGAATTGTCACACTGCTTACAAGCAGTTCTATGAGCTGTTCCATTTTGCTGATAGTCTGCATTTACTATTAGCTGTTTCCTTCTGGAGGATTTGAATTTTCAAAACCTTATCTTTCCAAGATGAAAATTTAGGTTGTGCAACGATCTATACTCTTCCTAGGAAAAAAAGCCATACTATACTGCATATGCTCCATACTTCACTACTACATACTATACTACATACTACAACTTCAGGAAAACCACTATAGTAAGGCTCTGTATTCTAACATATGAACAAATTTGTAGTGCTTTTCCCCAATGTACATCATTTTAAGTAGATACTGTAGGTAGGAAAGTCCATTTGAAGGTAATTCAGCCGGAGTTTATCCTGGTTTTGCATGAAGCGATCAGAGAGCACGTGACTCCCCCCAGGATGGGACACCAGTCTCTCACATGGCCAGTCCCCAGCAATGCCGGTCCCCATTTATACAACTGGGAGGACTGGAGCAAACTGGAGAAAAGTACCTCACTCAAGGTACAACAACAGCGTCTGCAGCAGGAACTTGAACACACACCTCACTGCTTACAAACCCAGAGACATCCCCACTATGCCACATTACCACGCACCACTGTAATTTATTTAGTAATAAGTTACTGGTTATTTTTATTTCGTTATTTTTCCGCAGGTACTGTATATAGTACAGCAGCTATTATAAAACCATAGAAAGCAGAAAGCACATTCGTAGTCGGATCATTAAAAATTCATTACGGGTTCTTGATATTGTAACACTATGCTGACTATGGTTTAAAACTACCGTATAACAACAGCTGAAACTGTTGTATGTAAATCCATATTCAGCAAAGTCTTATTTTTAAAAGTTGCATGGGCAAAAAAATACCTCCGAAGCAAATTCATAGTGCGTGACGGAAAACCATAACTATAACTAAATGTTTACAACATGATTGTATGGTTGAAGGTGTCAATGCCGAAAGACCACGTATCAGCAACTATGAAAAATGGTATTTTAGCATATGGGCTTTGCTCACGAATTGCAAATCCGTGGTCGGATCTTTTAACAAAAAAGCCGAAACCCTTCCAGTCTGTGAGGTACTCCGACATAAAAAGGCTAATGGCTGCCTATCCAGTTGCTTCCCTACCTTGAGCTCTTTGAAGAAGATGCAGCTCCTTGCCCATTCGACAATGGAGAAGAGCGTCTGGTCTGCCATTCTGCACATAAGGCCAAAGGTGTTGAGCTTCTCCAGCTTGCCACGGTTGGCCTGCTCCTGCTGCAGGTAAGAAAGGATCTTGTTCTGGACCTGGAGTTCGTCTGGGTCGCAGCGGAGAAACTCCACGATCAGCTGGGGGACACTGGGAGGGGAGCTGGTCTGGTAGGCATCTGGGTAAGGATAGCCAGACAGGGACTCTGGAGAGCTGGTGTAGTGGTCGGGGTACTCTGATTTAATGGCACGGTTCGGGAAGGACACATATTGGTAGCCTGGCAGGGGGACATGATTCTGCATGGCCATGCCGATTGCTGGGGGTCCATAGGGGACTTGATCATAGTCTGAGGGGGTTATTGAGGCTGGAGTCGGAGGGGGGATGCTCTTCGAGACGGAGTGAAGCCCGTGGAGGCTGCCTGAAAGAGTGTAGTCACTCTGCACCGGGGAGACGAGAGGTGGCGTCGCCTCTAACTTGAAGCCGTTGGCCCGTATCAAAGCCTTCTTCTGCTGCTTCAGAGCCCTGTCCCGCTTGTACATCGGCCCGAACTTATTCCTCCCCCCCCGCATGCGGTCTGCGCGGACGGCTGGCCAGAGAAAAGAGAAGAGCACATCATCGGTTTCGAGGCGAAGCGACGTTCACACGTGAACAACAGAGGCGGCTTCCGTTTTGGACGACGAGAACGTAAGCTCAGAATAAAAGAAGATATACTTGAACCCTCCCCCGAAAAACATACGAATGAGCTATTTGCATCGGAAATACACTAAGCCGCTGAAAACAGAAATTTAAAATATCAGTGCAGATTAATTACACCTTCTACATAGAACTGTTTTTGAGAGGCCTCATAGGGTACACTTGAATAGCACCTCAATATGATCATATTTCTAATGCACCTTATCTTCTGAGCTTGCTGGAAATTTGCAGTGGCTAAAAATCCGGATCACTGATTTCTTGCTCCAGATAATGCTTGCTTCAATAAACGAAATCACTCACTGGCATTAAAATGCGTATGATCTGCCACTGTTGGATTGTACGCTGATGGCAATCTGAGCCACAGAACATTGCTTGTTTCAATTCAACAATGATCATATCAGCACTATTAGCAAACAGTTACAGTTCTTAAGTTATTAAGTATGCAGAAATACACACAGAGTAGACAATGAACGTTTTGTTGATGTGCAAGAATCAGATTTTCCCAGCAGGATGCTATTATGTAGTAATCTGTTTAGAACTGACAGAATGCCAGTGGATAGGTGATAAAAGCTTACGACAAACTTCAGATTAAATAAACAAGGCACGTAATTTAAGGATGGTTTCATAAGTCAAGCACACATCCATGGTTTCACAATAGCTCGAGAACTGCATTATTCCCTCAGAATCGGGTAGATTTGTACATACATATTTGGGAAAACTTGCTTCCTCCATTTAAGGAGACCTCTGCATTAAAGTGAGTTTGCTGTAATTCATTCCTGTCCTCAAGGCCTGTGTCTTTATCTCCAGGGTGAACTCCTTTGGGTTTAACTCCAATTTAGGAGAGGATATGAGCAAGGGAGCTTAACTTTTTTTCTTGTCACTTTTTACTGATTTTTTTTAAATTTAAATGCGTATAATTAGTTATTCTTTAATGGGAAAACATTTTTTTTTCCACCGTATTGGTCGATTAGAAGGAACGTAATCCTATTGCCAGAGCTATACAAGCAGTCAAGAATGTGTCATTTCTGTGAGGAAACAGGTGCTTTTCTACATCTCCGAGAGGAAACCACACATTTTGTTTTATTCCCGTTGGATCGTTGACGTGAACTCAGAAGTCGCATCAAATCAGGGAGAGTTGTGAGTCGGACTTTAATCGTCCCCGCTAAACTATATTTATAAAGACATTCGTTTTTTGAGACATACAAAATAATTGTTTTTTTCTACTTTATTTTTTTACTTTGAAACCGTACTAATTTCTAAACCGTCGAAATTAGGCGCCGAGATCAACAGAAATAAAAAAAACACGTTTAAAAGGGTGCGCTTAGAATAAGAGTATAATGGATATTTAGAATAAAACCATTAATGTCGTTTACTAATTTAACCAAAAAACAGATTCAGGCATAACTGAATGTTGCCGAGAGGCACGTATTCTTAGGTATTACTGTATACCATGCCTACTCTCCATCTCTAAAACAGAAAAAATCTTATAGTCCAATAATTTGTATTTCCTCAAAAGACTCTGCATGCAATTCCTCAAGTTTTTTTAAAAATTATAATCCCACTTCTGCCTAAATAAAGACCGTGAAAACAGAAGTGTTAATATACGCGTATTTCCGTACAAACTAAAAGAGGGTACCGGTTCTCTTAACATTTTGTCCATAACAGAACAATACAGGTGTCAACATGCATTTTACGTTTTTTTTTTTGAAATAATTGAACCCGAACTCAACATAATCCAATTTTAGATATTTCATGCAGCACTAATTATCTAACAAATAGCCTTTAAAATGAAATAATAAGTTTATCGCCTTTCTTAAATAAATATAAATATTTCGAGGCAAAATAACAACGGATCACACGGATTAAACAAATGCTAGTGGTCTTTACCTTCTAATCTCATTCCGACAGTCAGACATTTTTGAAACCGACAAAACGGGCATCTTTTTCGTTGCGTTTTGTCAATTTTACAATCCTGGTTTTCTGCGCAAGTGTACCGTTTATTGTTCTGTACTGTTCGCTTGAAGAACCCCTAAAGAGAGAATAAAAAAGGTTTTATTAGACATGCCAAGTTTCAAAATTAAATACAAGCCTATAGTTATGAGCTACGCCTACAATTTTTTTATTATTATTTATGGGAACATTAAACGGAACGACACAAGTTTGTTTCTTTGGAAAATAACATATCCAATACCTTGCAACTTTCACATGTCAGCAGTCCGTAGTGATATCCAGAAACCTTATCGCCACACACCGGGCACAGTTCTTCCAAATCGTCGTCATACGAGTAGTCCATCACCTTAAATTGAACACCTATACAAACGAGAGAAAGCACAATGAATGAAGCCGGCCGTCAGGACCGCAGGACGCGAAAATCTTTTGAGACCCAAGGCATGGGATGTCGCGGATCTCGGGTGTATGAGCTCGGTGTATGCGATCAAGGGTATATTTATCCTCACGCCAGTTGACAGACGAGCCACGTGTTTGTTTAAAGAGCTGTCCAACCCACTCGATGCTGACACCCTCCTTTAAAAATCAATAACGAAAACGTTAAATAAACAGTTGCCATCGTCTCCGCAGGTTTACGACCTTCCTGGCGATTTTAAGACTGCCCTTAAAAAAAAAAATGAAACGTCCAGTATCTGTTAAAAAAAAACACGTATAGTTTTTTTTTTAAAGTATAGATGCTAAACGAAACTTACACCATTGGTGCCTGGAAAAAAAAAACAATCTTGGTAGCATTACTTTTAAATCCACAGAAAATCGCAAATATTAAATTGGATGTATTTGATACATTCACATACTTTCGCAGTAACAGAAATAGGATCATGCGTTCTGTTTCCATTTGACAAATTTCGTTACTTTTAGTTGTATATTTAGTTAGGCAAGGCTATTTTCTACGTTGATATTGTGATGGGCAAGGCAAAATCGGAATTTTTCAAAGTTCATGATTAATGCTGCAAGCGAAACATTGCGCTTTAAGTAACACCTCGAAATCACTTTATATACACGTTATAAATGTCTTTGTTTTGTTTAACAAAAGCTCCCCCGAAATACGCCAGTCACTACAAATAATATTAACGAAAAGGTAAAGAATCGAATTAAACACGTAACTGTACAATATGATTTTACAACGCATACACAGCTAATAATACGTACAGTATATTCTGTATATATAAAATAGTAATTCATAGTTTGAACATGCTTTTTTTAAAACACCTAATATTCATTCATTTTTTTTTACTAGATACCAACTGTACAAGTCATAACAGTTTTGCTATCAAATGGTTCGTAAACTAGAGTATGCCTACTTGCTGGGAAACACTTAGAAAATAAATTAAATCGGAGGAACAAACAACAACAATAATAATAATAATAATAATAATAATAACGAGCCCCTCACCTTCGTTGTTTCCGAGAGTCTTATCCTGGTTTAAATTGCTGTAATCTTCCCCAATTTGCACTAAGACCGGTAAATTGACAAAAACTCGCACTCAGACACCGAAAAACCGCCGCCTCACTAATTTCCCAGGACCACTCAATTAGAATAAGATTGCAAGTACAAGACGAAGAGCCCCCAGCCGTGCAAACCGACGGCACATCGCTTCCTATTTACACATTTCCCCGATCCGATTGGGAGACATGCGGGCGACCGACGGGTCTCGCCTCCTATGTATCGCGCAGCAGCCCGTCCGGGTCCGCTATGTGTCGTATTAAAATCCCAGAGAGCCAATCCCCAGCTCAAGGGGCGGCCGCTCAGCCTTCTCGCTTAGCCTTGTGTCTCCAGTGGTGGGGAGAAAGCGCCGGAGGAGCCCAGTCGATTTATTCCTGTTGCTTAAATCGCTTTTCATCACATCAAAACATGACAGGATAGAATCCGTGTGCTTACAAATATCACTTTGCACGGTTCTATCAAACTGCAATGGGATAGCAGATCGAACTGAGTAAATCACACTCAATACCTATCTTCCGAAGTACCTAACATCGGATTTTAAAGGTATTATTATTATTATTATTATTATTATTATTATTATTATTATTATTATTATTATACTGTAACTGGTTAGGTTTCAACAGCGAACAGGTTTGTATGCTCAGGTCAGCAAATGCAGCACAGCATTCTTTGGATACTGCCGTTAAATTATGGGGAAAAAATTAAAAGGCTTGATTCCATGTTTAAAAAGCATGTGTGCATTTCTTCACAGGCTACATTTTAAATTGGCATCCACAAAAATATTTCAAACACGAGCACAATTTATATTGAAACGTTTAACAGACGTGCAGCCCCGTTTTTAGACATTGTTATCGTGTACAGTGAGAACAACATACTGTATAGTTTACACCAAACTGCTTTAAAATTAAATGACGGAGTTCTGCCGACATAAATATATGGCTGGTCACTGAAATAAATGGGCAATTATCTCTCAAAAACCAAACCGTTGGAAACGCTTACAGTGTAGCTTATCTTAGGGGATTCCTTATAGTTTATTAAACGATTCATTGTTATACTCATATTAAATATAATTAAATGCCTTGCAATGATCTTCACGTACCTAAATAAATTTGTTAAATCCAAAAAGGCATTTGAGAAGTACTGATACCGTTTGTACATTGCCCTCGCTGTAATTGTGTTTTACACTGATCAAACCAAAAAGAGGCACGTTTAGTCTACCTTTAAACTCAAGAAGAAACAGGTGCGTTTTCCTTTCAGTATTTCATTTGTTTCGGTGAAGTCAGAAAAAGATATATTCATAGCAGGAACATCTCTGATCCTAATTTTAAACAGCTCAACGTCGCAATGTATATTTAAATAAAACAATGTCTAATAGGCTTTAAAAGAAAAGAATTCGTAAGTAATTGATATATTTATACACATCTTTCTGTCTTCGGGACTGCTTGCAAATGATCATAAACTGGAGCATTTGCAATGATTCGTGAAATTTCAGTGCACTTTAGAAAAAAAAGTGATAACAGTATAAAAAGTAAACAGAAAATATATGAAAATGCCGTTTTTGATAGGCAGTTGCGTATCCTGTTTCTGTGCTCAGGTGTATACTGTACTTTACATCTGCAGTATACACGTCACCCTCTGCTACTGCCCAGATCACTAATACCTGCTGTTCTAGACGAATTGCGCAGGGACACCCTTTCTGCTGTGTAATTTGATTTTTTTGTAATGTAGCACGCAGTCTAAGTTTTCACTGACTGCATAGTTTCCTTAAAAGTTTATATTTTTCATCCTTGTCAACCGTGGACAAAGTCTATCAACGGAACATGATCAATCTGGATTTTGAGGAATCCAGACTCGTACTGAATGTCTCTTTATATATTTCTAATAATATAAAATGTTCTTTTGGTTGTCATCCAGTTTTCAAAGAAACTCTACGTTTTACCGTCTCAATGGCATACAAATAACGTTTCGCTTTACAAAGGTCGGAACACCTCATACTTACGTGTTGGAAAAAAAAGTATTAATATTAAATGTTCTTATGGCTTAAGATGCAATACATGGTAGTAAATTGAGAACGACTCAGTGTTGCAGTTGGTATTATCGAAGAAGGCAGACTGTAGGTTCGTCGTAGGCCTGGTGCAATTTTTTTTAATCAGACGAGTACACAGAAAGGTATGTTTGAGAGAGCAAATGAAAAGAAACAAACTCTTGAGCTTGGCCGTAACATTTTCAGGAATGTTCCGCGGAGAGCTAACAAAAGTATCTTCTCGAACACCAGTTACAGCGGAAACGAACCGAGGACACTCAAATTGTTGCTTCGTGGAGCTCTGCAAAACGAAATAAACTAGATGCCGCACATTTCCCAGGCCTAGTTTTCACCTCGACAGTATTAATTGGGCGGTGACATCACGACCACAGTGCAAAAAACATCGCAAAAAAAAACCGTACGTAAAAAAACAGCTTTCTACAGACTTGTTCTCACTTTAGCTCTCTTGAACCCGAATTTGCCACGAAAAATATATTTTATATTTTAATTTATTGTCATAGTTTTTAATAATGAATAATGCATTTTCAACATAACGTTTTCGTCTGCCCTGTATGTCTGCATTTACGCGGCGGTTGAGGTTTATTGCGTAACTTCATTAAGCTACAAAAAAATCACAGATTGAAGTGTTCAAATTAAATCCGCCAAAGGTAACATTTAGCTTTATTATTGCTGCTGTAATTTAATGAAGCACCGTCTTTTAAATCGCGCTTCATTTCCGTTGCTTTCCAAAACATTATTGTGTTGAAGTAACTATTTTAAAATATCTTTGTATTGTAACCATTACATATTGCAGTAAAGTTAAACAATTTCTAAACAGTAAAATACGCAATGGCGTACTTCCCTTAAAAATAACCACTACAAAAATGGCAACATATTGATAATACTAGTTATCATAACAAAATACAGAATGTTTACTAATTGCACTACCCTTTTTTTCCTGTACAATGGAGAAGAAAAAAGCCGTCGTTAATATTGCTTTTGGAAATACAATAATTTGAACAGATTTACAGAAACAATAAACAAGGTACAATCTCCTGTCCTGAACAGTTTTTTTTAACACGTTTATACGACCGTTAGCCTCATATATGAAGACTTTTTCAAATTCCTCAAAATGTCCTGGTACAGTTTTGATAATTTTTAAACTTTTTACACGATATTTGAGAATTTGTACACGATAAGGCAATGCATCATCACTTTATCAATGTTATGTTTGAAAGCTGGAATCTTTTTGCCTAATATTCGATTTTTTTAGCGCATTGAAGTTTTCATTTGCGAGCAAAAGATGCTGACAGCAAACGGCAGTTTATTCATATTTTCCACCAACATGTAAAATGATTTGCATTCAGAAGGTTTACAGGGCAATAAACGTAATCCTGTCTACCACACAGCAAGCGTCTATTGAATAATAAGATCGAAAAAAAATAGAATGATTAGGTATAGAATAGTAATAGAATGATATTGTTGATAGTATTTAAACCAGACATATGCATTTAGGCAATATTCTTCTAAAAAGACTAAATGCTAACTATATTTTCCTTGTTATCTGTATGTCGATAAAAAGTAGTTTACACAGGCTCTTAAAACTTCAACGCGCGGAGGCCAGTTCTTCAATAATTTAGACATGTTTTGGTGAAAATATCTGTACAATATGTGATTAAAATTGCGTTGCCTTCCACAAAACGTCTAGTTGTAAATCTATCTTGTAAAAACGTAGGTAAACCCTTGAATATTTAAACGTAGCCTCGATGTATTCTTTTAATGCCCACTTTCCTCTAAGGATTACAAAAGGTATAAATTAGCTTCTTCAACCGAGTTTATCCTTGAACTGACGTCCGTAAAGGCAGTATATCTCAATACTACTCAAACACTTGCTATACTAACGCAAAGTGTTTATACACTCAAATGACTTCGTTTAAAACAATGCTTGACGTCAACTGAACATTTTCAACCACCAATTACCTTAAGATAAATGCATATAACATTACCATATAAAATTCGACGTCTAAATTTAAATTTAATGTGACGTGTTTTACTCGGACGTTATTTGATAGCTTTTGAAGTTATTTAGTTTTGTAACCGTACTGGAAGAGGGGAAACAAATATTCATGAAGTCCAAACAGTAATTAGCAATACTTACTTTGATTTTCGTCTTCTCGTTTCAACGGACTGCAGATTGAAAAAGTCGCATCAAATGACATTCTCAGGTAAGCCTTCCTAAATTCTTTTGTTTGGTCCACCTCGCTATAATTGGGAATAAAAAAGAGCTGATCTGATTAAATAATAATAATAATAATGAGACCAATTATGCTGTTAAGCAGGAGTCAGACACACAGTTAACCGCATGCCTTTTTATATTTATATATTTGAGCCGTGCATCTGGGATGGGAGATTCTGATTGGATTTCACACTCATGTGACAGCTACTGAGTTCATAATGCATTCTTTTCTCTTACGAATTTAAATAACTCCTCCAGATGTTAAAAATTAGTTTTCTTCGGTCATCGATCTGTTTCTGTAGATTTGAATGTGCTAATTTACCATTTGTGGAAAGACTAATTTCTGAAAGTCTAAACGATTCCGTGTAAGAACAGTGTCTGGTACAAGAACATCAGAATAGAGTTGAATGCTGTGTAAGTGAACACTGATTTAAATTAAGCTGATGTATCTTCAGGTCAAGAAGGGAGAAAGGCAACAGTAGTTTGCACTTCAATGCAACTTACTGTCCCTCAAGGAAAATTTCTCCAACATCCAAAGGCATATTGGACTGATTTTAAAAAAGCCAGGAAGCCATGCTTTATGTGTCATAGTGTGTTTGTGTACTGGCTCTTAATGATAGATAATATTTGATATATAACAGATATATATGCTAGATAACTTAGAAAGAAAATTCTAGAGTTGATCATTTTCTTTCTAAAAGAGTCTCTATCACTCAAATGGACCTGGGGTGCTGTCTGTGAGGAGTTTGTATGTTTGTGTGTGTTTCCTCCAACTGGTCCGGTGTCTTACCACAGTCCAAATACATACTGGTAGGTTTATTGGCTTCTTGGAAAATTGGTTCTGGTGTGAGTGTGTGTTTGTGTCTTCTATCTGCCCAGCGATGGACTGGCATCCTATCTAGGCTGTATCCTGCCTTGCACCTGTTGCTTGCTGGGATAGGCTCTGACTCCCCTGTCATCTTGTATTGAATACAGCAGTTAGAAAACGACTGGATGGATGGATGAAAGATTGTGGGCAGCCTCCCAGATTCGGCTGAAACGTTGTGTTCTCTCTTCTTTTTTTCAGCATGGAATAAACCTATTACTTGTTCCTTTGCAGCCTATGCATGCTGACGCAGCTCCCCACCTGAACTACATATATCTAAATATCTTTGTACCTGACTATCTGTTTCTTCTTTTATAACACTTTCCTGACATCAATGAGAAACAAGTCTAAGTGTAATAGCAGCCCTGTACTGTATGGCCTCTATATTGTAGACAGTATATGTTCCCTGTGCCCCCTGTGCTCAAGGCAAAATGGACAAACATTTCCCTCCTGCTCTCCCTGACTGCATGAAGCGCTGTATCCAACCAAAGGACTTCATCTACACTCCTAAGGGAAACCACCTGTTGGGCTCACACCCGAAGAAGGCTCCATGGCCGAAACGTTGTGTTTTCTTTCTTCTCTTTTCAGCAGGGAATAAACCTATTGCCTGTTCATAATGCAAAACTACAAGTGAAACAGACACAATACTGTAAATATGGTGTTGAAGCTTTGTATTAATCTCTTATATATACAGTATATATCCATATCTACTTTCTATTAGAAAATTCTAATGCCACCAAAAAAGTAAGCATCTCTGGCCTTCACAAATTTATAGCAGTATCTTTAGGTTGAAAACTACCAGTAAAACCCGCGAGATTGTGGTCCTCAAGAGGTACCCCCATCTCTGCTTTAGATCCTTAAGAACTTGTGCAATGATGTTCAGTTCTTATCCTGGAGGGCTGCAGTCCATAAGGTTTATAGGCAACTTATAAATGCCAGTAAGTGAAGACTTGGAAACAATGTGCCACTACAGACCAAGTGAGTGAACAGTTGCATCAGATCAAGTCATTAATATCAGGGAACTGGGGGTCAGACAAGTGGGTTGCAAAAGCAGGCTTTGTAAATGAAGAATAAGGGAAGTGTTAATACATTTACCACATATTATTAATGTAAGAATATCTCATTATTTACTAGGATAATAGATTATTATAGGATTATTATTATTATAGACTAATAGATTATGGATGTAGTTCAGGGGTTAGATGGACAAGCCTATGGTACATCACTAGAATCCATACTGCTGTTGTCCCTTGAGTGAGATGCTTTGTGCTCTGTGTTGGGGCTGAGTCTGGACCCCCTGGAGGTGGTGGCTGAGAGGAGAATGCTGACCAAGCTCACAGCCATCATGAACAACGCCTCTCATCCGCTTCATGGGACTGTTACTGGGCAGCGGAGCACATTTATCAACAGACTGCTCCAGCTGCGGTGTTCAAGGGAACGTTTCCGCAGGTCTTTCCTCCCGGCGGCTGTCAGGGTGTATAACGCTGCCCTAGGCTAGGACTGTTAGCCCTTCATTTGCTCATCTATGGACAGCATGTTGCTCCATTGTACTTTCCATTGACACTCAATCTATCTATACCTATGCACATTTTGCATATATTTTATATATATATTACAGTGACTATGATCATATTTTGCACACACCTATGTAACTGGGGATCCCTGTGTTATAAGAATTTGGCAGATATGTTAATTCCTATTTGATTTTAGGCTCGAAAGGATCATTGCCAAAAATCAACATTCATTGAATGAAAAATAATCAAGCAATTTATTGGCAAGCATATATGCCATCAACAAAGCACGTATATTTCAAAGTGTCTCTAGACCCAGGCATTGTGGTCGTCATCACGATAAAAATAAATCGGGATTCCAGCAAGGTGATGATAGAATTCTTGCAAAAAAGGGGGAAAAACTCCAGCCATTTCCTTTTCTTGCAGAGTAGAAGTCGCAAGGAAACTGGCATAATGAGACTCGTATTGAAGCTGTTGTGTGGAACATGTGCACATCCAACCTAAAGTGCACTAGCTGAAAGAAGTCGCTTTGTTGTGAGGGAGTGAACACAGACAGATGATGAGCCGTTCAACTTGATTCTGCTAGCTAGCGGATATAAACAAGGGCTTACTGTCTCTATTGGTTTAACTGAATGTGCTGGTGTCCTTGAGAGTAATCTGCGTGTATCAGTTAGCACGGCGGGCAGCCATCATAGTAATTATTTTTATATGATTAACAAGATTTGTGATGCTGGGGAAAATCTGGTCGCAAGCACATTCGTTACTAATGAATACAAAATAATGATGGCCGTAGGATGAGGAAGTTCTGGTTTGTTTGGTTTGGAAGAGTACTCATTTTTAATGCCGTCACATACAGTAATAAGAATTATGCCTGTTATAAAGGAGCCCGTTTAGCAATCACTGTAGTTTGGTCTCATGTTTTAATGTGAAAAGGGCAGAACCTCCAACTCTACCTAAATTGTGCTTTTAACCACTGTATTGTCGAGAATTCCAAAGGGAATTCCAAATGGAATGCTATCTAACACCTGCTGAATCAGTGTGTTATTTGAATACATAAATACAAAGTCGGGAATAAAAAGATTAATTTACCAGGTGTGCTTGAGTGTCGTCAGAGAGATTCAGTAAAAACAGAGTTTTACCTGTGAGACTTCCACTGGGGTGATTTTTCACTTTACTGCTCTTCAGCTTGTCTTCCTGTGATGGCATATTGTGAAAATAAGTTAATAAAAAAACAATACATTAAATATAAAGTGCAGGAGGTTATAAAAAAATCTAAATAGTGAGTAACAACACAAAATAGCTGAATTTGTAATAGAATATTCAAATGAGTCTTGCTTGTTTTATTGATTTTTTGTGTTGTGCTCGTGTTCTGTGAGGGATTTGGTGATTTTGTTCACTTGTCCTTTAAAGTTTAGAAATTCTGCCTTTATTTCCTTGGGTTGTTATTTTATAATTCAACATTATTAAATTGCACACTGAAGGAAGGCATATGTTCTGTATATCTTTCTATATAAAAGATCGTTTGCAAGAAATACAGTTTAAAATATTCAATCATTTTAGTCATTCTTTTTTATATTGCTTTCACTTGAAAACAACTTAACTGGGGTGCCATGTGAGAGTAAAAGTAATCACTTTAAGATATATATACTTTTTCTGGCACAAAGCCACATTCTTAACATTGCTGAGGTAGTCAATACAAAACTGATTTGCATGAAATGATCATAATTAGCAGTATATGTTCATGATTCGGAAGAAAATGCATTGTGTCCAAGGCCCATGAATATCTGTCTCAACGCTTGATTAGAAAGAAATTCGTGACCCTTTTGTTTTAATAAAGGAAAACTTTAATTTTCTACCTACTGTGTCTTGTCAATATGAACAAGAAATATTTCCTCTAATTCTTTTCCAGTCTGAAAACAGAAGTCGGAAATGCAGACTGTAGCTCAAACAAAATTCTAAAATGCCAATAAAAGCTTTAAAGACTTTCTTTAAAAACAATTAAAATTCTCCCATAATGTCTGAGGGAGAGACAGGGCAGGAAAGAGTAAAGACAAGGCCATGCAGTCTGTATGCATAGCGGTACAAGATATTAACAAGGTTTTTAGAAATCAGTCATTTTATGACAAAAAGTTCTTGCATTTATCCCAACTATGTGTAGCATTTGCAGTTTTACTATAAAACCTAAATTTAAAGTTAAATAATTTTTACTAAGAATGCACAACTTCAATATATGGAGAACCTATTCATCTCCTTATCCTGAAATTGCAGAGAAGAACTAACCGATTATTGTGTTACAAACATATATGTAATATATAGCATTATATATAGCAATATAAACAATCTGCTTATTTTTCAAAGTGCAAAACACAAGCACAGTTGGTCTGCACAGTCAATAACAGACATTTGTTTTAGAATAAAAGCAGCACTTGTTGAGTAGCCGGCTTTTGTTAACATTGTCTTGAAGATACCCAGGTGGCTACAACCTACATCTGGAGGTTTTCCCAAGAAGCATTATGAAGACCCTTCTTACATTGGTCTTCTTCCTGAAGTGATAGCCTGGTTGAGAGTGGGGTTCCGTTCCTTACTGATACACACACACACATTCTTCACCCTACTGCAAGGAAAAATGGAGGACAAAGAAACAAGGAATAAAGCCAATGCTGAAATAATTGTCCCATTTTGTGGATTTGAAGTCTGAAAATGAGATTCATTCCTATTGATGCAGAAACAGCTTTCTGGCAAAAGTAGACGTTTTCAAAAGAACACATTCAGTGACGTTCAGTATTTCATTCACGTTGAGACTTTGTTCATTTTTACAGATATTTGTAAACTCTTGATAACAGATTAATTCATTTTGACTGAATAGTCATAAGAGTAGCAGATAGTGTTTAGTTGACCGAAGGCATCTTTTTAAAACTGGAAATAATGAGAAACTGAATAGTTAGTAGAAACCCATACCTGACCTTTGTGAAGTATAATTTTCAAAAATGATAATTAGTTAAGTGACCTAATTTATTGAGTCATAATTTAACTTTTGTCCCCACAAGGAGACCAATATGACAAATTGAATAGTGTTTTTTTTTTTATTTACCCCAGTACAACAAACACTTAAGATATAATTGCAGTGGTAGTTTTGTTTATGTCATTTGAAGATGAGTCTAATAAATCTTTTCATACTTAGTGCCATTAAAGTGTAAATAATCCAAAATCTCAATCTGTTTAATTGCCCATGAACCTTTTATTTACATAACATTGGTACAAAGGATTTTTATGCTATCTTACTATAAAATAAAAAATGGAATATTTTTTATTAAATATCCTTAATCTTCCTACACGTACTTAATCCTCCCTCACACAATGACTTGGAATATAAAATTAAGTGTCCTTACTTCAGAACTGTATTTCAAAATAACTTCAGGACTAATTAAATAAAAAATGTTAATCATTCTTCACTTGAAATATACCGTCATCGACGAGTCTAAAAAGAGGCACCTCGTTGTAAGGCGATGTTTGTACAAACGCAGTGCAAATCAATGTAACCACAAAATACAATGGGGCAGTTGTTTTGCACAGCTCTGCGTGCTGGTTCAATACCCATGGAAAATATTCAATATCCATCATTTAGGAACCAGAAACGTAATAATGAGACCATGAGATTTTACCTAAAAAGGAAAAGTCATTGAGATGCACAAAAAAACTAAATGAGTCCTCAGGACAGAGGTAACTTAACATGAAAGGCAACATGAATCTGCCAACATGAATTAAGCTACAAAGAAATTAGTACTCTGCAGTGGAGAGTGTCAGTGCTATTGGTGTCAGCAAGGGGATCAGGACAGCTTTACAGTGGCTGCAGTTAGGCCTCCTTCACTTTCACAGTCCAAAAAGGAATTGGGTGGTTATTGTCTATGGTAATATTAGCTTTATCCCATCAAAAGATTATCCTTCTTTTCAGATTGTGTGTTTGTTTTTGTCCTGTTTGAGTGACGTTATACCATTGTATTCATATGTTCCTCAAAAAGAATTGTCAAACACCCACTGTTGATAAAAAAAATGCAGAGAGTTGCGCCAGCAAAGAATGGAGGAGACATTGTTATTGTGGAATTTAGCTGTGGAATGCAGGTTTTAAATTCCACGTTGTTGCTATTGTGTTAAAACCTTTGCAGTTCGGGGTTTTTTTTTTCCTCTGTAACTTTGATGGCTACAGATGAGTTTCACAATGGGGTGTATACAAGGTTAAGTTTTTAATTTTTTCTTTAAAAGCATCTGCACATTAATGCACCAGCATTCCCTTGCCTTGAGTTAATGGTTGTCAGTCTGTAGAGATGAAAGTCAGTGTATCCTACTCCCTTTCATTGTGCTCCTTGAGGACACAATAGTTGCCGGAGATAGGGGGAAATGGTAAAGAATTCTGTTTTGCAATATGCTGGGAGTTCATGTGTAGATCTAACCCTCCAGCCCCCTTGGGGTAACACTGTGTAGAAAGTAGTAAGACTCTACCCAGCACATTGTTGCAAGCATTATAACCTAAGCATGGAGCCCAGCTGTCCTCCAAAAAAACTGAAGCACATAAAACCTAAAAGCACAACGACCCATTTCAAAAATACCTGGCTACACAATTTTCAAATATAAGATTTCGGTTGGCAGCAAACTTAAAAAAAAAAAGAGAGAATTTAGATTAATTGTAACTGGGCTCTTTCTCTAAATTGTTTCTGTTGTGCATACCTTTGGGTGCAAGCAAGTTAAAACTGTTATTCAACTACAGACACAATATCAAACTTCACTGAAGCAATAATCATTAATAAATAATCCTTAGCAAAGGGTTAGTGTATACAAATGATATATTAATGTATGGATGTGTGTGTGAGGGGGTACGCACATTTTCTAAATTTGTCAGCAATAAAGTCAACAGTAGAGGGAGCTTGAATTGTGACAAGGAGGAATGGACTGTACACTCTTTATCAGGTACAATGTTAAAGTTTTTCTGTGGACATAGAACCAAACAAATCATGTGCAATATCCTATATAGGCCTTAACATATCCCATGGCATGGACTCATTCTGCGAACGCAGAAGGTAACTTTCGCTGAAGATCTACTCTGCTCACATAAGCCTGAGCATCCTTGAGCAATTCGTCCCTACCGCACTGATAAGCAGGACAACTTCCTATCGTTGTCAAATCCAAGTCCTGAAAGCCACCCGTTTAAAAATTGGGGAACCAATTTATTACCATTGGCACATACATTTTTATTTCCAGTTTGGTTTCTCCGCAAGTTTTATTTTCATTCAAAGTGGGCGTGTACAGTAGGATCAGCTAAGATTCATCTCATGATTCAGTAGAAGTCCTCTGAGGAATTTGTCCACATTAACGCGCAAGATCTTTTTCCTTCTGATGACATCGCGAAGATGACAAGATCATTGAACAAAGGCAGATAGGTGGGAGCGCATATTGTTTCCAAGTCACAGTTGCCGGGAATAAGACTGTCTCTTTATCCAATGATGAATTCTCTAGAATAAAATGAAAAATTGGAAACAAATTATAAATGATTTTATAAAAAACTGTTCTAAAATGAAAAATACACTTTTTTTGTTTCTCGTGGGGAGAAACATAGTCGTCTGGTTCCCTTATTGTGACAAGGTCAGTTTCATTCCATTTCCAATGAGGAAAGATATTTAAATTAGTTTTGGTATGCAAATTATGAAGTGAAACATCCAGGTGTGGAAAGACAGGATGTTCTGAAGGGCTGCAGAAATAACTGTGAGATGATGGATGTTGTGCAACATCTGACACGGTTACAGCAGTGCATCGTATTCCAGTTCGGCCAGGTTTGAAGCTCCTGCAACTGTGGATCTTAATGCAATAGGATAGTTTTCACTGTACTTGGTACACATTGCTGTGATTGGAGCAAGAGAAAGTATTTTAGGCTTTCATAATGGGTAGCACACAGCTATGAAATCACCCTTGAATTGCAGGTTTAGCATTCTGTTACTCATTCCTGAGATTTCAAGCTGTGTGATCCTTGTCTTAACTTGACTTGACTTGACCACGGATGTTTGAAATATTTAAATATTCCAGCCAGGCCTCCGTGCCTGTTCTTTCACTCTTGCCCCTTTGCGCTGTTCGCTGGGAACGAGAAGGAACAGAAAACTGTATATATAGTCCATATAATCCAAGTACAAGAGAGAGCCAAAAATAATTTGGAAAACATTTCATCTTGGCATTTCCCCTCCCCGAATACAGACCTTACCACGCAACACGGTGGATTCTCCTATGCACGAAATGTCAGTGCTCCTACCAGCGCAGCATGTCACTTAATCTCAGCCCAATTAAGAGAGAAGAAAAAAATAAAGCGTTAGAAAGACCATAAAGGAAAAAGTCCTTACCTTCCCTAATGGTCAGCCACAGGAGACCATGAGGCTTTGCTCTTGAGTGGGCCGCACCGCTCTGTCTGCGTCAGGTCTAGTAACTCCTCTTCCACAATTCCCATCACCCCATGCGGTAATGGGCCTGATCAGTGATCGTTTTTGCGCATCTGAACAAACTCTAAGAAAGCTCACACACCAAATGCTTTGTCATTAATTGAACTCTGCACTGGTGTTTTGGGGTTACTTTAATCCTTTGGGGGGGGTTATCAGACTTGACCTTATGGCCACAACTGTCATTTCCTCAAACAGATCAGTTCTGCTTAAATATTAAAATCTTGGGTATGTTCTGCCTCTATTTGTAATTTTTTTACATTAATTTAGAATGTGTCTGATCTATTGAAATTGATTTCTATACAAAAATATTTTGCCTGCCGATTATTTTCATGCATGTTGCCCCCTTACCTCCACACAATCTTAACCCCTGCAGCAGACTATTAATAAGAACATTAGTTAACCACAGGTGTGAAACAAGGTATATGAACTCTGGATTATTGATTAGCATCACCTCTGCATAAGGGACTGATCATACTAAGGCAGACACATTGTACCAGTGATAACAGGTGAGAAGCAATTCTCATTGTTCACTTTTAGCAGAATGCGAGTGTTTTAAGCCATGAAATGGGACTGATTAAGGAGGACATGTTAAAAAATAAACATTAAAAGTGCAAGACACTATTTGCTAGATATCAGAGATATAAAACAGCAAAAAAAAAAAAACAACTCACCTCTACAAGTATTGCAATGGTTCTTTGGCAACAGCTGCCTGTTCAAGTCAAGCTCATCAGCTTTCCATTCACATCTACAACTAATAAAGTCACCCTGTACAAAAAAAACTTTTGTTCTTTTTACATTCTATGCCTTGGGAATTATTATTGGAATGACTGCTAACCAAAAAAGCAAAAGAAATGAAAATAAACCTAATTGAAAATCAAAAACAGAAGGCACATCTTTACCCAAACAGTTGCAGGTAAGGCTGAAACCAGCAACCCACCCCTCTGGTGGAAGCTTATACCTTTGCTTCTGTCAAGACACAGCTGGGATCAATTAACTACTAACTCCCTAATTGGCAAAATCGGTAGAAATGGCCTCTTTTCATTTGTAATCGTTTTTAGCTTCTTCTAATTTAGCAGCCTGTAGAAGTGCAGAAATAAAGCCATTGCACAGACCAAACACACATTAACAAATGCATGGAAGCAGAAGGAGAAGATGTACAAATGACATACTGTATATGCTGCACCGGACAGCCACATGGAAAGGAGTATTATTCATTTCAATTTGGGAGATCTAGGTTTTGCGAACTCTATTCTCTCCAGGCTGGTCTTCTTCAGCTCATGAGGACAGCCACATGGAAAGGAGTATTATTCATTTCAATTTGGGAGATCTAGGTTTTGCGAACTCTATTCTCTCCAGGCTGGTCTTCTTCAGCTCATGAAGAAAAAACTAAACCAGACAACTAAATCAGACAAATTCCAGTCAATCTTCAATTTAAGGATTAGTATCATCATTAATTAAGGCCGTAAGTGAAGAAAGTATGATGTAACTGAACTACAGTATTTGACTTTTTCTTTTACATTCCCTGATTAATTCAGACCGACTGCTGTAGTTTCTGATCAATTAAATACACCATGCATACCCAATTACTCAAAATGATCTGAATAATGTTGTCAAATTGATTAAATGAATAATAATGTTTTGTTCTGACTATTCAGCGTCATATAGTTGTAGTCTCCATTTGTACTGTTTTCCCAATTATGTTTTTAGAGTGACTCTCATCAAGCCCTTCTGTAAACATGCTTGAGTGAACAAAGTCATTTGTTTTCAACCACATTGGTTCTCTTCCTGCCAACAACAGTAATTTACAATTGTTAATCCATGACCAATGACTCCAATTGATCACACACATTTCCCCTTAACAAAATGACCCCTGTCCCCTTCTTGGCTACAGAACCTTTCACCTTTGTGCAACAAAAGCACTAAAGAGGGACACACAACATGAGTTTGCCCTGTCTTTACATCCTGAGATAGGATGCAACCTGACAAGCAGTGACACCACTGTGAGGATGAGGGGATAGATGTACAAGCAATGAGACAAGTATTCTGTCAATGAATTTGAGAAAAAATGGCCTATCTTGTATTTGTCTCCAAGATTAATTGTTTTGTGAATGTGCTGTGGCTACAGTTCAACTCAGTTATGCCACAGACTCACTCTGTCTCTGTTTCAGAGATATATTTTTTAAATAAATAAAGATGTCAGATGGGGTTTGCTAATTGTTTTGACTGCAGCCCTAGTATTTTGTACATCAGACATTCTTTAACTTTTCTTTCATTTCAAACAATACAACGTGGTACATTCAGTGGAGCCTAGCGTACATCTGGGTGAAAGTTGTGAAGCGCTAAATTCTAGGATACGAATGACGAATGACAATAAAAATGACTTCAAGCATATTAATAGATTTTCTTTTCAAGAAAGTTTCACAGTGATATTTGTTTGTGGATATATTAGAATGAATTTTTATGTAAAAACATAAACAAGAAAATATGAAAAGTAGGATCAATTAAATTGACAATTCTCCAGTCTGTAGTTAATTACTGGAATGTATCCCTGTTAACAGTTTGAAAATGTGAGGGCATTTAAAATGAAAAAAGGTTTGTGTTTTATACGTTTTAACATATCTTCAATCAACTAGAACAGATAAAAAATGTCATGTAAGATCTAGACAAAGTACTCTCATGTTTCTTGTACATATATACAGTAATATCAAAGTTTTAATTCCTTTCAATATGATGACATAATACAACAAATATTTAATGCCTTTCAGTATAAGGAAGAAATACAACGAGTACTAGAACCAATAGCATCTTTTAATGCATCTCAACCTGTTAGGGTATAAAAATGATTGGTTTGTGTCGTTGATTACATATGAATTGATTAGCCTCTTGGTGTTACGATAAAACTTCCTCACTGCATAAACGCCAGTTTAAATGTGAGATTTGCAATGGTGTTTTTAAAACAGAATAGATGAAATGCAATGTAATTTAAAGGTTGTTTACTGTTAATAAAGAAATGTGAATAAATACTGAATTATTTTGATCATTTCACAATGTAATATTAATAATTATTATAGACAGATATCTTGTTTATGGACCCCAATAGCAGAATTTATTCAACCACTGGACAATGAAAAACGATCTGAAAAATATGACTTGGAATCTGTCTTACAACAATGTGGTTCTTCAAGGCCCTTGGCAAATTTTTATAGCACTTTATATCAAGTTGTTTTCAAAAATATGTTTAATATAAATGTCTAAATATGTAAAAATATGTTTAACATAATATATTTGTTTATGTCCAGGTTGGTGTTTTTTTGGCACGAAGAACAATTTTGTAAAGGATATTCATTATTTCCCAAAACTAAACAAAAATATCCTTCACTTTCACAAAATGGGCCAAAGTTGACTCCGCTAGTTGCTTCTTAAGCCCTTATTTTCTACACGGTTTAGTTTCGCCTATTAATAGGAATCTTATTGAACTCTCTTGCTCATTTTTCTGGACAACTAGCAGTCACTCAATATGTCCCCCCAAACTGTGCGGTAGATTCCTAGTTCCTTGTTCTGGGGGCAATTAAACCATTTCCAATTATGTGAGGCGCATATGCAAATTGAGCAAATAAAGGAGAAGAGGCAATTGTTCAAGGACAACGTAATTCCCTCTATGTGTTTCAGGGCAGAAAAAGAGCATCTATTTTAATTTAAAAAAATTTAACACTGTTAATGTTTTTATATCCAAACACCACCAAAAATCCAGTATACATGATACATAGTTCCCTATATGCTACCTGAATAGTTTTGAGCATATAGATTTTATATTTTAGCTATGTATCCTTGTTGTATTTTAGTTATGTATCTTTGTTGAACATGCACAATACAGTTTTGCTTCTTCTTACAGAGTGGCTGTGTAATATAAGAGAAGCCCCCTCTTCTGGTCATCAAGAGACACTGAATAAAAAAAACAGTCAATTTGTAAGATGGCTACCTTACCCTGTTATTCTAGGACATTATGAGCGAGTTCAACTATACCATTAAATGAGCTTTTTTTTCTATCTTGTAATGTTTACACTATTTTATAATCTTCCTCTGAGATTTTTTTTGCTTCACTATTTATGTCTGAATTTAGTTTTTCTGTTTTGTAACCAATATGTTTAATCATAATCATCATCATCATCATCATCTTGATTTTCACAATCTTCCTGGGTAAGTGTTAACTGCTCAATCAATGTTTTTTTTTACATTTACATTTTTGGACAATTTTTATGACATTTCATTTGTGACCGAAGGAATTAATGTAGTATGGCACAATACTCTGTACACAGATGTATGATCTGGAGAATATCGCTGATTTACACTGTAAAAACGTAATTACTTCAAATCCCATTAATTCATTAACGTTTCTGCAGATACTCTAACTGCTTGTCTGACAGCTTTGTTTCAAATGTTGTTTCGGTTTTAAGGGCATTTTAAAAAAACACGTGTCTGTTCAGCTTATATTATTACAGGTCAACAGATGGTCCAGTCTTTAAATTATTATTTTTTTCAGAGCTGTGCAGAATTCTCACTTGATACCCTTTGAAGGACTTCATCCAGAGCGAGAGCTTTTCACAGAACCAATTTATTTCCAGCAAAGAATATAACAACTCGCTAAAGGCCACTTTAGACTCTCGTTTTGCTTCCTTATTGAAAGTAAAAATACATCTTCTTATTGATGTATTTCTGTATGCGCTTAAAGGGTGGTTAGTCAAACAGAATCTTGAAACAGAATAAATACCACCGCAAACAATTTCGATTTTGTTTTCAAGAGTTGAAATGCTTGCATCCACAGCAGGTTATTCTGGATCATCTCAAAAACATGACAAGTTATTATGTCAGAAATATAAATGATAATAAAAACGTGACTTACTGTATAATGAATCATCTAAAGCAGAGCAAGCAATTAGGACCATCAGGACTTTATGAGCCCTGGTCTCTTTTCTTCTCTGTTCAATCTTCAGCTTTACTATTCCTGCAGAGCAGTGATCATTCTTCTTTTCCTGGAGAACCACAGAGTCTTCTGGTTTTCATTGCTTTTCTTTTGTAGCACCTAATGGTTTAATTTTAACCAATTGAGTTATTTCCATTAATTTTCCTTTATTATCAGTTATTTCCTTTAGGTAGCCTTTGAGCAGATTGTAGTCCCTGAAACACCTACAGGGACGTGAATTAAGGCAAAGAGTTTATAGTATTATATAATATTGTATGTAATAATATTCATAATTATCAAGAGTTTATATTTCAGTAGATTTTTAGTCTCTTATATTGAATATACAATTTATATTCGTGCCATCTTAGTATTATTTCATTCCATTCCAAATGTCCTACAAGAATTGTAGTTTAACTAAGCTAACTTTGATAAAGGTGTCATTTTGACAAATTAATGCTAATAACCACCCCTGACTTCTTTCTTCTAGGACACCTGACGATACTACTAAGCCTAGCTGACATAAATGTTAGGAGATCTGTTGTTTTCAAAGTGGCAAGCTTTAATGATATAACCATTTCTCATTGATATTAGAGATCAAGGGCCAGAAAGCAGTGGGCCTGAAACTTGAAACTTGCACAAAAAAAAAGTCTGAAAGGAAAATTATCAAAGTATATCAATATGCTTTTGAGACAGCACAAATACCACTATACTGTATTCTGGGTAGTCTGATGTATAACGATCCTTAAGCAATAGATATTTTCTGCATTAAATATAATAAGGGGACCTTTAACAAGTCTTTAATGCTTTGAGCTAATCTTCTGATAAGAGTCCCGAGCTTTTCTTCAGGCCTACAGAATATCAGCCTTCACTTTGCTAAAAAATCTTCCGTCAGTCTCAGAACATAATGTGGACTTAAAGATCTGTGTGATACAAGTGGGCAAGTGCGTTTGTC